GATATTTTATAATTTATTCACTATAAATAGTATTGTATATGAGTATAATGAACATTTATTAATTCTGGTATTCAAATCATGTTCAAAGATATCTATAACCAATTTGTTTTATTTGTTATGATTAGTGTTGTATGTAAGTATAATGAACATTTATTAATCTAAGCATTCAAAATAGGTTATTCAAGTTTACAGATATTTATAACCAATTTGTTTTTATTCAATATGATTAGTGTTGTATATAAATATAATAAACATTTATCAATCTGAATTATTCAAGTTCAGAGATATTTTATAATTTATTCACTATAAATAGTATTGTATATGAGTATAATGAACATTTATTAATTCTGGTATTCAAATGAGTTATACAAGTTCATAATCAATTTATTTCATTATTATGAGTAGTATCCCAAAACTAGCATATAATAATATCGATCTATTTGATCTATTTTGTTATATATACCATAACCCATTTCTAGATATATAATCAATTAATATTTTATTCAAGTCACCTGATACTACAAAGATAATATATACCATTTTATATCTGGTATCTTATGTAAGAAACTCACAGCTTGTTTATTCATTATTATTTAAATAATCTCTTATGTGCAACACATATCTCATACGCAATCTATATACACTATGCAGCAAATTTAAAATCTTGGATCAATCCTTATTTAATATTATGATTCTGCCTATACATATATTACAAGTTTTGATAATTGGGTTAGTAATCTTAGCTAATCAAAATTTTTTGGCTATGACTAAGCCGATAAATTTACCATCTTAACAACTGATCTAGTGTTACCAACCTAAAAAAATTTTGCTAAAAAAATTTTACTTTAGATTAAGATTAGGTTTTGCTACTAAGCTAGGCTAGAAAGAGCTTCATTAGTACTAAAATTTCGCAAAAAAAACTTTTGTTAGTGCGCAGATAATTTTATAGATAAAATATTGAGTTATGAGTGGGTTTTTGGTTTGTTTTAATTTTTTGCATTTCTTCTGTGTCATGCCTAATCTTAAAATCTGATTTGTCAGTAAAATTTTTTAGGTTGGTAACAACAGTTCCATCATAGCCAGCTTAGCTGGTTTAACCTTAATGAAAATTTCATCCTAATATTTTAGGTTAATTTATTGTTATCTTGAATGCTACAATCTTAGCAATAAAATCGATCAACTGATTTTAAAAAATTAATCAGCTAGTCTGATAATTTGCATTTAGCTGATTTTTTCACTATCGGCCAAGATCACTAAATTGAGCAATATTTTAATAAATATTAAAAAGTTCATTATTACATTCGAATTCTTAGAATGAGTCTAGTGATTACCATATAGTTCTGAAATTAAACACTTTCCAAAATTAAGCACCATTAAATTGTATGTAATATCTGAAAATAAGCACCTTTATATATAATTGTATCTGATTTTCTTATTAAGCAAGCTTACTTTATATTTCTAAGCAATATTATTCTCCAGGTTAAGATGATTCTAACAGCAATAAATTATTAAAATCAGTCTAGTAAAACTCTTATAATTACTCTTCAAATTTTAGACAATTTTTGTTTACAAGTTTGCAAATTATGTAAAGCAAATATAAATAAACATCACCTGAATTTTAAGAGGAATTGCAAAAGTTCTACTGAACTAATCTTGATGATTTTATGCTATTAGAATTGCCTTAATCTAGAAAATAGTTTACTTAGAAACAGAAGGTAGGTTTACTTAATTAAATTATATTCAAAAATAAGCATTTTTATAACAAAAAAGAGTACTTAATTTCAGAACTATACAGTATACTACATTTCTAGTTTAAGTATAATTATATCATGCAGTTATATATTCTATTTTTTTAGACTATATAAAATGTTTTTAAAAATATTTATTTATTTAAACTATTAAATATAATATATATTAAAATAAAAATAAATAACCATTAATATTCAAAAAATAAAAATAAAAATAAATATTTATTTTTTTTGAGTTGGATTTATAAGATATGAATCTCTTTTTCTTTTATTTGAAGTTATAATAAATTCACTAATATTATCTATATTATTTGAAAAATCAATTAAAACTCTTTTAAATTGTGTTGTTTCATTTTCATTAATTATTTTTGTAAAATTATTCATAGCTAATATAAATTCATTTTCTAAATTATTTTCATTTAAATCAATATCTTCAATTATACTATCTTCATCTAATTCAATAATATCACTATTATTAAGTTCTTCTTTATTATCATGTTTTTTTTGTTAGATTTTAAATATGTATTAAAATTATTTGATATTGTTTCAATTGATTGTTTATAATATTGAAAACAATAATCACATGTAAAATTTAAATTAACATATAGTATGATATGAATGTTCACATAATAAAATAATTATATTTGAATCTATAATATTACAAAATTCTAAATCACATAATTTATTTTCATTTGAAATTATATTAGTATGATATGCTGATGGAAGAATTCCTTTTGCAAAAGTTTTTTCAATTGTTGGAATATAAACTTCAATTTTATTTTTTTTTTTTTTTTAAGTTTAAAATCATTTTGTTTTTTATAAAAATTTATAAAAAATTTTAAAAGAAATATACTAGATTTAGAAACTAATAAATCTAATTGAGGTTTAGAAAATAAATATTGTTTTGTTTTTAAAAAATTTGAAATAAATTTATTTTCATGTTTTTCATAATCTATAAAAATTCCATATCTACGAAGAGTTTTAGAATTTGTTAATTTAGATGTAGTACTTCTATATACTAAACTATGAAAATTTTCAACTAGATATTCATCAAGTAAATTTAAATGATTAAAAAATATTTTCATTATTTGATGATGATTTTCATTCCATTGTAAAATATCTGATAAAAAAGCAAGCATTATTTTATCATAATTTTTTCGATTACATCTTTGCATAAACATCCATAATCAAAATATTGTTTCATAATAATATTCAAAATGATTATATTTAAATAAATTTGTATAAATATCCAAAGTAGAAGGTATAATATCATCCAAAGATTTAAAATTAAATAAAAACTACTATTTTTAGAATTTTTATAAACTTCAAGAACTTTAGATCTAATTTTAATCCATCCAGCATGAGCAATATAAAGTAATAAATTTATATGCCATGGTTTTGGTTTTTCTGCTAAATTTTTTTTTTATTAAATACACTTTTATATAATTTATTAAAAAATGAATGAAATTTAATAATACATATTTCTCTAGTATTTAATGAAACATATAAAGGTTCAAGTAATAGAACAAAATGATTAATTTCTTTTAGAATATTATTAAAAGATGGATTAAAATATTTAAATGAAATAAGTTTTCGTATATATAATTGACTAGGAAAATCTATAGGTGCAATTATTATATTATTATTTAAATATTCTTTAATATCAGAAAATTCTATTAAATTATTAATTATTTGTAAATAATTATCTGTATTTTTTAAATCAGATGAAATAAAATCAATAAGTTTGATATTATTAAAATTTCTTATATGTTGATTTTCAAGAGTACCATCATACATATGAATTGATAAAGATTCCATTAAAGATTCAGTTGAAAATGATAAAATATCTGAAATATTTTTCCATTCTAATTTACAATTATTATAACTAATTAAATTATTATGTAATTCATTAGATAATGCATTATTAAGATGATTAATTGAAATTAATCCAGATTTATAAAGTAAAAAATTATTTGATAAAACAAATAGAATTTTTAAAATATTAGATACACTATTAATGAGTGTAGTTGCTATATGATATATTCTATTATTAGATGTCATAGTTGAAAGTCTAGTTTGATGACAATCATGATAATCATCAATATTAATTATAAAAAGATTATTAAAATTATTTTGTAAATATTTTTCTATATATAATTTATGATTTTTTTCTAAATTAATCATATTTGAATATAATTTAGAATAACTTGAAATGTATCCAAAATATGATAGTAAATTAATTGCTCTTTTTGAAAGACCAGCTTTAAGTAAAAAACTTCTAATTGAACTTTTTATATTTGTAATTTTGTTATTTTTTAATCCAGCTAAATGATACATTAATAACATTATTCTAATTTTAAGTTTTTTTAATAGATTTAGTATTTTGATTATTAGATTTAAATGTATTAAAAAGCATCAAAACAAATAGTTTTAAATTAGCAGAATTAATTAGTTCCATAAATTCATTAGGATCTGTAGGTGGAAAAGATTTATTTTCATATTGTATTTTATATAATAAATTAGATAAATTATCAATATTATTTTTAAAAATATCGAAAAATGATTCTATAGATAAATTTTGTAATTTTTGTTCTAACAAATTAATTTTATCTTTTAAATTAGAAATTTCAATATTTTGCTTATTTTTTATATTTAAAATTTCAAAATTATTATTATATTTTAAATTTAATATTTCTTTATTATATTTTTCTATTAAATTTAAATTTTTAATTTTATAATCATTATTTATTTAATTATAATTACATCAGCAAATTTAATAGAGCATAATATTGCGCAATAAATTACACAACATAAAAAAAATGTAATATTACACAAGATATTGCGCAATAATGCAAAATATATAATTACAAAATATTATATAAGATTATTACGAAATATTACGTAAGATATTGCGAAATATTGCACAATATCTTGCGAAATATTATGAAAGAAATATATCAATATAATTTGAATTAGATT